CCCATCTCTGACCGTGCCTGCCCTTGGGTGCAGGGTGGGTGTTTAGGGCAGCCCCATTCCTTGCTGCTCCCTGGGGACTCATCCTGGGGACCAGTTGCTGTGCCAGGGCCCGAAGATGGGCTGGGGGCTGCAGCCTGGGGGCACGGTGTCCCTGGGTGGGGACGGATGCAAGGGGGCTGGGGCAGGGGGAGGTTTGGGCAGGGAGGGCTTTGCCCCCCTCCCAGGACCCTTTTCGCATCCCGGAGGTTCCCGGGGAAGAGATTCCCCCCTGAGCTGTAATTGGTAAATCAGGCATTGGAATCAGCGCAGACACTAATGAGAGTAATTAGGAATCATTTGTTACTAATTGAAATAGAAGGATGAGGCAGAATGAGGTGGGGGTGGGGGGAAGCCTGGCAGGGAGCAGGGCTCCCTGGGCTTGGGGGGACTGCTACCCCAGGGGTGACGGTCTCTCGCCCGTCCTTTCTCCGCTGCATCCCCGGGGAGGAATTTGGCCACTCCTCTTGCAGCTGTGTGGCGGCTCCATGGGGAGGACGGTGGCCAAGCCAGGGTATCCCCCTCATACGCCACCTGAGGGGTGGAACGGGTCCCTCTGGAGCAGGGGATGCTCCGGTGAGGCATCCTGCTCCTTGTGAAGTGCTGGGGTGCTTGGCAGGAGCGGTTTGGAGTCTGCCGCCTGCCAGTCACTTCTGCAGGAGATGAATACATTGCGAGGGGTATTTATTTCTTTTTTTTTTTTTCCTTTTTTTTTTTTTTCCTTCCCCTTGGCATCAAGCAGAGACGCGTGTGTTGGTTTATTAATATCCGAAGTCTTGCAGAGCGGGGAAACCCGTTTCTCATCTGGCCCTAAAAGCGCCGGCAGCTCTCCGTCGTGGGAAGCGGGGAGGAGGGAGGGTGCTGAGGCAGGGCTGGGGCGCACCCCCCACCTCGGGGGGGAGTCCCTGCCTGTGCTGTAGGGTCTTCCCTTGTTGTCCCCAGGTGAGTGATGGGAGCCTGACGGTGCTCTCCATCACCCGGCAGGACAGGGGTGCCTACACCTGCCGGGCGTACAGCATCCAGGGGGAGGCTGTGCACACCACGCGCCTGCTCGTTCAAGGTGAGATCTTCCACCCGAGTCCCTCCGGCTTGTCCTGGGCCACCAGTGTTCCCAGGGGGCTCCCTGGGGGGGAATCCCATGGACTGCAGGGCTGCGGTGCCACTCCGAAGCGACCCGCAAGCCTTGTGGGCTCAGCATCGTACCGGCTGCCCCGTGGCTCTGCATCCTGTTTGTAGGATGGAGGAATCCACGTAACTGGGGCACCGCGGTGGCCGTGCCGAAGCGGCCGTGCCGATGAACAGCTGGGCCCCGATGGCAGCTCGGTTTTGTTCAGGAAGCGGGGAAAAGATTGAGGCTGTCACAAAGCGCCTTGTCAGATAGCGGTGATGTATGGCAGGCCTCCCGCTCCTCGCTCCCTCTTTTATTAAATAAATCTTTAATTAGGTCAACAGCTACCGGCGGAGAGAGGAGCGTGGGGTGTCCTCCACTCTGCTCTTGCCACGGTGGCAAGCTGTGGACGCTTGCCGCTGGCTCCCAGCAGTTTGCTGTTTTCCCCCTGGGTTTTTCCCGTGGGTGATGTGATCCTGGAAAAGTGCTCGGGATGAAGGGAGTCGTGAGCTCGTGTGCCCTGGGAGAAGCAGACCTGTGCTCCATGAGCACAGAGCCTCCTTCCCCAAAGCTGCAGAGATTAGGGGAAAGGGTTGGGAATAACAGGGCCACTGTGCTCCTCAAGGGCAACCCCTGTGATTCTGGGGGATCGGTGCCAGCTCTGTCGCAGAACCTTCCAGCAGCTCCCAGCCAACGATGCTGTGATGGAGCTGAGCCTGAGCAACCTTTGTGGGGACCCCTGTACTGGTGGGGGTGACGCTTTTCTCTCCTCCCTCCAGGACCTCCCTTCATCGTTTCCCCTCCGGAGAACATCACGGTCAACATCTCCCAGGATGCGCTCTTCACCTGCCAGGCCGAGGCGTACCCCGGGAACCTCACCTACCTGTGGTACTGGGAGGAGGAGAATGTCTACTTCAAGAAGTGAGTTTGAACCTGGCAGGGTGGTGTGTCCTCCTCATCCTCCTCCCGGGTCGTGCTGGGGCAGGTATTGTCCCAGTTCTCCCCGTGATCCTCCTCCCCTCTTCTCTCGCAGCGACCTGAAGTTGAGAGTGCGGATCCTGATTGATGGGACGTTGATCATTTTCCGGGTCAAGCCAGAGGATGCTGGAAAATACACCTGTATCCCCAGCAACAGCCTGGGCCGCTCGCCATCAGCCTCTGCCTACCTGACAGTGCAGTGTGAGTGTGGGCAGTGGGGCCCGATCTGGAGGGATGGGGCTGGGGCATTGATAATACCCAGCTCCAAGGCAGCCCCAGAGGCTTTGTCATCCTGATATGATACTAGGAAGCTCAAGTTGCTGTGACAGCAGCCTTCGGATGAGCATGCGATCATCCTCAGCAAAAGGATCCCGCGTGTGCTTGTAGGGTGTGGGCAACAAGACGGTAAATAGCCTGAGCATCCTGGGTAGCACCGCTCAGCTGGGACCGGTGTCCACCTTTGGTACGAGTGGTTTTCGACTAGTTGTGGGCATCTTCCCACCGTTGCTGCCCTCACGCTGTCCTCATGCTGCATCCTCGCGTCCTCGTGACGACCAGCTGCATCGCGTCAGGCAGGGAAACACCGGCTCAGGGCTCTCCGTCTCAACTACCTCCTTGTATTTTTCGATATTTATTATGGGGGCTTGTTCCCGCGGCGTGGTTTCTCCGTGAGCTCGGTAGCTTTGTGTGTCATATTTTTCAGGCAGTAACTGATCTAAACAAGCGGAGGAGAAGGGGCTGTAGCAGGAGCGTTGCTTCCCACGCTTGTTCTCTCAGGCTCCCCGGGCGGTAATGGGTAGTGTGCCACTGGCGTCCTGTGGCATTTGACAGTAATGGCCTCAATTGCTGCCGCTCGCAATTGCAATATTGCTCTGCTGTAAAAGACTGCAGCGGTTTTATTTCATAATGAAAGACAGGCTTGAGCAAAGCAGGCTCGTGACTTGGGTTTTCAAGGCTGCTAGTGGATCCGCCACTGGTTAGTGGGAAGTCCCACGCCGTGGGGAGCCGCTATGAGAAGGGCTGGGAAGTCCCATCGTTCCCTATGGGGATGGATGAAGGGGCAAGGGGATGGTATGACCGGTGCGATGGCCAGGCAGAGGCGGGATTTGAGGCTTGGATGTGCCCGGCTGGCCGGCTCTTTGGAAAGCGTGTGGCTTCAGGCCATTAAATCTGCCCTGCCGCTAATCCAGGACCACTCGTCAAGGCTGATAGCTGTTAAAAATAGCTCTAATGGCAGGAAAAAACAACGTATGGACAATCTGCCGTTCAGATGGCACTGCGAGGCTTCGGCGCGAGGACCTGCGCTTGGCTTTCTGTGCTGCAAACCCCCTTTCTGCAGGGCAAACCTTGTCATCTGTTCCCGGGCTGGTGCCTTGTGAGGGAGGCTTCCCACCCACCGGAGCAGCCGTCGGACAGGGACACGGCACTGGGTCATTAGTGAGCCGGGCTGGCCCCCGGCCAGTGACCTAGTAGTGAAAGGCTCGATCCCATTACCCTCTCCCGCTCCGCCGGAGCCCTTGATTACATTTCCTAAGAGGTGGAGTCAAGCAGAGGAGGTTAAAGCCCGCTCCATATGCGGCACTTGGCAATCTGGGTTACGGTGCCATAGCCGGGGGCGCGCGGTTTCAGGGAGCGGTTGGGGTTACGCGTTTCGGCAGGGAGGGAGCAGAGCTCCCGAACTTGGGAGCTTTTGCCGTCCTCCATCCCTCCCTCCTATACACCTTACCTTTACCTCCAGCTTTGGGTTTTTGCATCCGCAGCGCAGCGATACTGCGCCCCCAAAAAATGCATTCATCCCTTAATGCAGCGTAAGCCCCAGCAGGATTTTCCCATAACCTCGTGCTGCTGGTGTCTAGACAAGATTGTAGAAATACTCGCTCTTCTTATTAAAAGTAACTTTTTTTTTTTAAAAAAAGCTTCTTATTAAAGAAAGTCTAGATTCCCTCCAACCCACTCGCACTTAATTAAAAAGCTCTTAGAAGCACTGTTAATGACACATTCTAGACTGGAGGATTGCGAGACGCCTCGCTGCGTGGGTGGTGCAGCGCGGGGAGGGGGGGTTAGGTACATATTTTAAGCTTTTGCATCTCGTTGGAAAGGGTGGAGGTGGCTGATGCTCAACGTGACCCAGCCTCAATGAGGCACGGGCTGCGAGTACAAACAGGCGGGAGGTACAGGGCTCACGGCAGCGTGGCCACGGATCCCTTCTCCCATCTCGGTTGCTGCAGTCGGTGTGTTTTAAGGCTCGGGAGTTGAAATAGTTTTCATTGCTGGTGTGCAGAACCAGGCTGTGGAGCAGGCAGGTGGCTTGCTGGGTGCGCACCGTACCATGCACGTGTCCCACAGGCTCAGCGTGATGAAGCAGCTTGGGCTTCAGCAGGCAGTAAGTCCGTGTG